GACCTCATTAATTTCTCCTAACACTCCTTACTTTTCCTCACCTCACTTGCCATGAAGCATAATTATGTATTGACTTGACTAAAAGTATTAACAGTGATTATTTGATGACTGTCTTTCCTCTCCCTCCCACCCTCCTTGCACACCCCCACCCATTAGACTGGCAGCGCCTTGAGGTCCCAAACAGACCCATGTCACCCACTCTACTCCCTTACCATTAGCACTGAGCTTGCACATAGTAAGAGCTCAAGGAATGTGCTTGACTAGCTAGGAAGTGAATACGCTGACTCAATACTCATAACAACCCTTAAATAAGCATTTCATCGGTCATGAGAAAGATGAGAGAGTCGGGGTGAGCAATTGGCTTGCTTGCCCAAACTACAGGACAAGGGGAGGGCAATGCCCAATTGCTGAGCCCGATCCTTCCGCTCCTAAGCACTGGCCCCTTGATAAAAGGGCCAGGAAGGAAGCGGACTTTGAGCCCCGGGAAGGTTTTGCCGGAATACACTGATCATCCACGAGTGCCACACAGACCCAGGGCCCACTCACAACGGACTAAGCTGCGCCGGCTCAGCTCTCAAAGACTAAAGATCACAGTCTGCTGCATATGCATGAGGGGACCATGGGCCATGGTTGGGGGCTGCCCAGGATGCGCCTGATTAAAAATTTTTCGGGCTCCAAGACCTCAGGGCCCCAGAGTTTCATAAAAGTACCTATAAAGTTCTCGAATGGCCGTATGTGGCGGATATTGAGGAGCGATGGGGCGAGGATAACCCCATTTTGGGCTGTATGGGCAGGCGTTCGCTGTAGACAGCCCGATCCCAAGATGGGTCCTCGGACGGCTCCACTAGAAGACGAAGGGGGCGTCTCCCTCGCTTGCTGCGGCGTTGGTGGCGAGCTGAGGTGGAAGCGGACTGCGGCAGCGACGGCAACATTGGCGGCGGCGCCATGGCAGGGCTTGCAGGTACCGTGGCGTCAGCCTGCTAGGGGCGGGATGAGAGGCTCTCAATGCAGCCGCGCCGCCATGTTGTCCCTTCGGGGTCACCTTAGGCGTCTCCGGGTCCCTATCTGGGGTTTTCCTTCCGCGAGACGAGGGAGGGGGAAACCCCTGTCCGGAGCCAGGTGATGGCCCTGCTTGACCCTAGCCTGGGCCTTGGGGGTCCCTTTCTGGCCCGAGGGTGGGTCACCGGACTCCTGAGTTCTTGCTCTGGCCTCCAAGGTCAGCGCCCTCCCGGGATGGGGCAGATAGAGTCGGGAGGCGCGGGGCTGGTCCCTTGGCAGGAAACCCAGCCTCTGAGAGACCTGTCATTCCTTCCCCGCCACTTCAGCTGCGTTTTTTTAAATCAGGAGGGGCGTGGGGAAAGGATGAAAAGGGTCTCCCACCCCTGGCCCTCGCTTCCGTGTCTGGGGTGATAGGTTGACGCTTTGCTTACTCCCTCTAACTTTACATCAAATCTGGACACCCGTTCCCTTTCCTCTTATACGTATGGGGAGTGGCCCTCAAGGGCAGCTGAAGGAACGGAATGCCTGACACGCTGATGGCCTGGAAAGGGAGAATGGGGGATGGGGGACAGTTGCTTTTTCCTTCCAGGCCTCCGTGTCCCTTTTCAACGCTAAGTGTTGGGAGACTGGGGTCTGTCCTAGGAAAGAAACGGCCTTTCTGTTTATAGGTTCGGATCGTCTTTTATCCCTTTCAGTGAACTGGTGTGTTGGGGACGGCTTCTCTGCCCTGCCTGACATGATCCAACCATCCCGTCAGCCTTCTGGACAGCAACACCAAAGCGGGGACCCAAACCAAAAAGCAAACAAAAAAACCTTCCAGCTTAAGTGCTAATGCCAAGTGTTAGCTCTTGTTTGTTTGTTTGTTTTAAATTAGACAATAATTAATGTTAAGCAAATCTGCTTAAAAATGCAGTCGCTGGAAGCCTGGCCGCTTTCCAGTGACCAGGTCAATTCCATATCTGAAATTTGTCTTCTTAGAGTTGCTGCTAAAAACAGTTTAACCTTTTATCTGTAATATGTTGTTTCAAAGAGGAACCTGAGTTAGGCTGTCTTTCTTGGTTGTTGTTCTCCTGCTCTTGAAACACATGCATTCCATTTCAAGCCTGTCACTGTGATACACCAAGGACTGTGTGTTGCCTGCCTATGACTTCCTGCTCAGAGAATGCTCAGGAATCTGGATCCTGCTGGGGTATGGCCCCTGTGGGAAAGGGAAGAGAAAGAAGGATAAAGGGGATCATTCCCAGAGAAGATGATGACAACATGTCTCTGGGGCATATAAAGGAAGTCAGAGGACACCAGGGAAAAGAGACTGTTGTTAGACTAGTGTTTTGTTGTGTGAGCGTGCACATATTTAAATCTCTGGGAGGAAAAATTAACTGCACATTTAGAATTCCCCTTTGGTGTCTTGGCTCCTGAGGAGATACAAGTTTGAAAATAGGTATCTAGTAAATGGCTCACAGCAAACCTGCTTCCTCATCCATGTGTGATAAGCTTGTTGACCTTACAGCTGAAGCTCAAGAAACTTGCCCCTACCTGCAGAACAGACTTCCCTTCCATCAACCATAATCCAAATACTCCACAGATAGAAGTAACAGTGTCACATATTACCCTGCACTTCTGAAAATTGTGGTACCTAAACCCTCAAGGACTAAACTTCAACTGGCTAGGCTAAGAAACTAACATCCTTCTCAGGGTTTAGTCCCAAGGGTCTCACCTGTGGCTGGAATCCCAAAAAGCCATTCCAATCCCCTCACAACTCATCTGCTCTGTCCTTGCCCTTGTGGGGGCAAAGTCTTGCAGGGTTTGCAGTGGTGATGGTTTAGGGAAAGAGGACATTTATTGCTATGGACTAAGGAGGTTGCAATAAAACTAGTCATTTTCAACTCATCCTATTGTTCTCTATCAGAATAAAATGTTTTAATAGCATAGCTTGTGGAAAAATTTTATAAACAAGATGTGTTTGGATCAGACTTCTAGGCATTACACAGGGATGGAAAGTGAACACATTCTTTCTGTCTTCTCTGGTGGGTTAAGTTTGCTGCCAGAACATGAGGGTTTGGGAGTCGGAGACGAAAGTGAGGAGTGAACATTGCACTTTCAAGCCCACCCATGCTGGGTGCAGGCCACCTGGGCAGCACTTACCTGGAACTCTGTCATCTACCATGCTATGCTCAGAGCCCTGCTGATGGATGGATGTAGGAAAAGGGCTTTGCCAAGATCATCTGGAAAGCCCAGGAGCTGCCAGCAGCCTTCTACTTCTAAGGGAGGCCCAGGAGGTGCTGTATCCAGCACAGCCAGACTTTTCCATGCTGCTTTGGCCTGCCTCCTGAACTCAGCTACCTTGTAACTTGTGCTGAGGTTAGAGCATCTGCGGCAGTGGGACTGTGGGCACACCCCTTGAAGGCTCTGCAGGGAGGGTCAGCCTTCATTAAGAACACATGTTGAAATATGTTCAGGGTTCTGTGGGTTAGTGTGGAAAACCACAGAAATCCCCAGTCTTGAGGCCTGCCAAAATATGGGCTTCAGAAGGGAGGAGGTGTGGGCATTGCCTGCTGATGAGTCACCCTGGGGCAAGAGGAGGCCTGCCTTACCTTCAGGCTACAGTAGCAGCTGTAGCCACCCAGCCTAAAGAAGATGGAAGCTCAGATTGCATCTCCTACTCAAGTCCTGATGAGTCCTGATTGCCACTTTTTAGTCCAACAGGAGACTATTTTTAATGTGTTGAGGTTCACCGGTATCTTAGAGGTCCTCTTATAAAGGGGAACTGAAGAAGGGTAGGAGGTGACCTAGCCAGGTTCCCTAGGCTGATTGATGGCAAAGCCAAGACCAAAACCAAGATCTGCACCCCCCATCCCCCCTTAGCTCTGATGCTGAATGAAGTAGTAAGTTCCTCTAGAGGTGCTGATGATTGAGCTGAGAAACTTAAGGGGCTTGCATAGTAGGGGAGGGAAACATGATCAGGCTTGAGGGGGCGAAGTGCCTTGTGCTGCAGAAGTGTTTGTGACAACTGTGACTAAGGGATTTAGGGAAGTGGCAGGAAAAGAGATTTATGGCCCTTCAACTCCCTCCCTTGGTGTTGACCCAAGAACAGGTGTGTAGTGACAGGGACACATAAAGCCAGAGACAAGGCTGAACAGGCGGCAGTGCCATTTGGTGAGGCAGTCAGCCGACCCTGTGTAAAAAGAGCCCTGACTCACTGAGTGGGAGAGGGGAAAGAAGTCAGGAGCCGAGCAGCTAGCTCACCCACCCACCCTGACATGATGGCAGGGGAGAGCCCAGGGCCTGGGACCTGGTAAGCGCCCCTACGAATCATGAGGCTGATGCTGAGAAAGTCAGGGAACCCAGCAATGCAGAGAATAAGCAGGAGAGGTTTGGGGGGTAGGGTGGGGGAGGGTAGGGGGAGGAGACCCTGGAGCGTAGCAAGGCCAGGTAGGATGCCCTTGTCATGATCCTAGTGGAGGTTATAGGGCCTGGAGCATTAAAGTGGGCAGAGGAGACACACAGACCTCTTATCCCATACTCATTGTCCAAGCAATACTCTGTGTCCACCCTCCCCAGTGCTCATATTTTTGGGGGGTGGGGGGGTGTTCCTGCATGAATTCGTAAGGCTTTGTTCTCCAAAATCACCCCCTTGGTCCCTAGCACTCCATATTGAGGACCATTCCCACCTTTTTCCCCTTCCTCTCATCTTTCCCAGTGATTACCTGCCATGGCCCTTCATCCCAGGACCACAGGAGAAGGCACCCACCCCTCTGGGGAGGGAAGTGGTCCCTTACTTGGGGACCACAAGTGAAAATGTCAACTTTTCTCTTTGGGGAGAGGGAAATGGTCCTTTATCTCAGGAGTGTTAAGTTGAAATGGGGCTGGGTGTGTGAGTGTCCCATTTTATTGCCCCCCTTTCCTCCCTCCCCCAAGCAGTGTGCTCACTCCACAATGGGCACACCAGCCCAGTCTTAGAAGTGTGTGTGTTGGTGCCGCAAAAATAGCCTCAAGAGACAACATTTTGGTGCACCTCCACCACCCCGCAGGGTCCTGGGACTCTGTGCGAAATGGGGGAGGCACTGTTTTTTTATTTTTTGTAGAGGTGGTCCCTGTCCTCCAGGAGCTTACAGTCTAGCTGGGGAGACACAACTAATGCACACTTATACAATCAGTACAATTAGCAATTACCACAATATTGACCACAACTGCATGAGACCAGGGAAAAGCAAGATCAGTGAGGGGCGGGGGGCTCGGAGAAGGGGTTTTAGTAAAGATGGGATTCCTTTTACTGATTGAATAGGTCCAAATCAAGTGACACATTTTGGGGGGATGGGTTGGGTTTGGGAAGCAGTGAGGGGGAAAGGGGAATCAAGGGAGCAAAGGCAGCAAGGCTGGAATACACGTGCCGTAGGCAAGGGACAGTGAGAGGGCCCCACTCTATTTCTTAACCCTCCTCCACCCTCACGCGTGCCCTCCAGTCCCGCCACACAGGCACACAGTGGGCGCCTTCTCTGCTGCACTGAGATTCAGGGCTTTGGCTGGTGATGTCGAAATGTCCATTCTGCTGGCTGGTGTAGTTTGGATCTTGGTGGCGGGACCTGCTGGCATGGCCGCGGCTGCGGGGCTGGGATGGTGTTGTCCCGACTTGGTCCAGATCAGAATGCAGTGCCTACACCCAGATCTCAGGGGTCTGCTCCCCCCACCCCCTCATTCCCCACCCCAGCAGTGGGACCGGTACAAAGGGTTGGGAAGGGATCTGGTATCGCCGTCATTGTCGGTGCTGCTTCTCCGGGTGGCCTACCGGCCCCTCACTGACCTTGGCAAATGCTCCTCTGGCGAGGGAGCACAGGGGACCCCCCATTCCTGCGCGGCGCTGGCTCCCATGCTGGTGGAGTTGCACAGGAGCACCTGATGATGCGGCCGCCCAGGGCTGGGAGTTGGGGCCTCAGTTGGGGGCTCGCTGCCTGCGCTCCCCCAACACCTGCCGCCCGGTCCGCGACACCGTGTACGCCAGCTTCTGCAGGGAGTACCTGAACACCTGTGGGGAGAGACCCAGGACCCGCCCTTAGTGGAGAGCACCCGCCTCGTGTCTGCAGAGCTGCCGTGCCCACCCCCGACCCACCCCCTGCCCCCCCCGCAAGTCCACAGGAAGTTGGAGCGGCGGCTGGGAGCGAACATTATATGAGCAAAATCCGCAAGCAGG